GCTTGCCTGCAGGCAGCTGCCGCCCGTGTCCATCACCCAGCCCCGTTTTGGGGCTCTGGCCCAGAGAAGTCCATGTTTCGGTTCTCCCCCAGCCCAGCTCCAACCCCATCACAAATGGGGACTGCGGGAGGGCTGCGTCCACCACGGGGGACCGGCTCCGCTCCCCGACAGCTCCCAGTGTGCCCGGCCGTCCCCACCACCCCACGTGCCGGTGGTGCGGGACCTGTCGCTGCAGGGTGAGGGTCGGCTGTGGGCGGAGGCAGCGATGCCAGCGTTGATAAAGCAGCGGCGCATCCTCTGGCTTTTAGCAAAGCGGCCATGAATAATTTAGCTCCCCTTCGCAAGGAAGAAAATCCCCTAATAGGGCTAATGGAGCACGGCGAGAAAGCTGGGCTCTGGGGGGACCCATTGCAGCCGCCAATTGCTTTGGATGCCAAGCGCCGACACTCCCCTAATGCAAAAAAACACGGCGGCTGCGCATCTCTTATAGCTGCCCCGGGGCAGCCTGGCCACCCAGAGCTTTGCTGTCCATGAGCAGCATCCCCGGGGCGCGGGTGAGTCGGGGCCGGCAGCGCGGGCGGCGAGCAGGGATGGGGGCAGCAGGGAGGATTTGCTGTGTGGGGTGACTCGGGATTTGGTGGCTTGGGGAGGTTTTGGGTTGGGGTCTTTCTGGTTTTAGGCAGGCTGTTGGTTGCCAGCAAGTTCCCAGCTTGGCAAGCTGGGCTGGAGAGACGCCTTTTTGAGCAGCTACCCCGCCCACCCGACTGTCACCCACTTGTTGTATCCCTGATGTGCACTAACGATCCCCCCATCACCCTGCAGAGCCTGCATGCCATCCCCATCCCTGCTCCTTCCTCGCCTCTCTCGCTTGGGCACAGCGCTGCTTGGGCTTCGACAGCTCCTGCAGCCCCCGCCGCTTCTCGTCCCTCAGGCAGCATCAGGATTTCTGCTAACGAAGGGCCCGTGGACGAACCCGCTGCTCCCGTGCTCTCTCTGCCGCCTCGTAACATTGCTCAGCTGAAAATCAGGGAGGTGTTGAAATGGAGGGGACCGGTGGATTCCCACCCCGTTCCTCAAAGCAGCCCAGCCCAAAGCCCCTAGCTTCGCTTGCTGCAGCCATTTAATTGCACTGCGGTGAAGCTGTAGAGCAGCAGTGCAGCCGTTTCGGACTTTTCCTGGCCACTAGCAGGCAAGGGGATCCCACCGGGGGTTGAGAGGGTCCCACCGGGGCCGGGTGCTGTGCCTGTGCCCAGCAGGAGCCACCGGTGCTGCCCTAATTAAAACAGCCAGCCACGGAGATGGGCTGGTGCCGGCGGTGCCGGCTCTGGACTCCAGCTTTGAGGCGCAGCAGGAGGAGGAGGCTGGTGGCTGGGGTTCAGTTTGGTTTTGCCGCAGGAGAGGGGTCTGCCAGCACTCCCGAGACCTTGCTGCAGAGCAGGAGGGTCTCCAGCAGTGCTGGGTATCGCATGAGCACCCTGGGGTTTCGGTCACCCCTCACCAGCTGCTGCTCCATATCTTCTGGGTTTTCTTCCTCTATTTTTTTCTTGAGGCCATACCTCAATGGGAGAGTGTGCTTTGCTTTTGGCTCCTGCTACCATAAATTTGAGCTTCATAGGGAAAGAAAAAACCACCAGCGGGAGCCTGGCCAGAGCCTGATGCCGGCACAGCCACAGTACGGTGCACTCCCAGCAGCCACTTTGGCACCAGTGCCGCAGTTTTGGCCCCAGTCCCCGCTCCTTCTTTCAGACACTGAGTGCGAGGGTCGCTGCAGAGAGCAGCAGGGAAATCGATGCCGGTGCCACCTCCGACGAGATCCCAGCCATAGAGGCGGCAAGCACCTCCAGCGGGTGAGAAGCCCGCTCTGCGGCAGGCTATTTTCGGCACCAGCTGGGAGGTCGCTGCCACGGCTGCAGGGAAGGTGTCGGCTGGCGGCGCAAGTTGCGGCAGCCTGCCGCGGGCACGGCAGCCACCGGCGAGCACCCAGTGCCCACAGCCCCTCTGTGGATGCTCGCCCTCCCCGGGGAGCCACACAGGGACACCTTTCCCATCCTGACCTCTCCCACCCGCCGGCACGCGGTGCTGGCTTCTCACCGGCAGCGCTTGTGCCGCCGCTCAGCCGTCTCCCGGGGCCCACCGTGTCCCTCGCAGGGATGCAAACCAGTGCCAGCCCAGCCGGTGCGAGCTGGGAGACGGCGCAGCCGGGGCAGGTGCCAGGCTGCAGCAGCTTGCCGGGCTGGAGGCGGCGGTGGCAGGCGCCCGTTGCAGCCCCAGCTGCCCGGCGCTGCCCAGCGCCGTGTCCCTTCCCTGCCGCGCTGCCACCCTCGGCCTTCCTTTGCTCTTTGGCTCCCCTGCCAAGGCTTTACTCCGCTGAAGCGACTGGCTTTGCCGGGGTCCCCGCTCTACCTTCCCCGCGCCGCAGACCCGCCGCAGGTCCTTGCGAGGGCGGATGCCGCCGCTCCGGCATCGTGGCGTGGGCAGGGCTCTCCCATGAGCGGCGGCAGGGCGCTTTCCCGGCTCTTTCCATAGCATCGCTGAGCGGTCAACGGCAAGGCCAGGCTGCGGAGCCCAGGCTCGGGCAGCGTGATGCTCTCCATGACGTACAGCGAGAGCCTGCGCAGCGTGGCCAGCCGGCACCCCCCCGAGTGGGGGCTGCCACCGGCCCCCCGGCCGGCGGA